TTACTTATCTAGTATTAATCCTGCATTATCTGGGCCATAATTACCAACATCGATTTTGACGTCGCTATCTTTGACACACATTGTGTTCGCACGTTTTCGTTCAGCTGCAAGTTGTGGATTGCGAGCCAAGGTGAGTGCGATGAACCACTTGGCGCGGGCCTGGGGAGAGCGAGTCCACTTTGGTCCACATTTCCTTTCTAGGATATATACAACGATGAGGAAGTCAGATAAACATTCTTTGATATTGGAAAACTGAATTTAGCGCTAGTGGTTGGTGGTTATGACCACCACAAGTGTGGCAATGATTGCATGAGTCTATAATAGAGGTTTTCTATGTCATTCAAATAACCAATTGTTGTATCGTTAATTGGCATAATTAATCATGATGATAAGTTATATGGATATTAGTATTCGCATATACAATGAATAATGTATATATATTATAATATATATATATATATATATATATATATTATATATATATATAGTTTTTAAATACTGATATAGGTATATATTCTCTGAGTACTTGACTGAGTGGGACCAATACCAATTAATGTGAACGATTCCGAGAATAGTTTAAAAACAGCTGAATTCCGAATGAATTAATAATAATTATATGGATAGCCCGTTTTGCTTCTGTTGATGATTAATAACTATTTACAAGCTACCGTTAACCGTGGTGTATAGGTTTTAACCTTTCTTCAGAACTTACGTGTTTCGTGATCATCGATCAGTGTTTGACAAACCACTCGAAGAACTGGGTTTCTGAAAGCTGCTTGGACGTGAAGATAACATATGTACGCATTGTAACCTTTTAAAGAATTAAGATATAGATAGATACCTTTTTGTTAAACAAAAAATCATAATTAGTTTCCTTATTTAAGGTGGCTTGCTACAGTTTTAAGAATATGGACAACTAATGATTTAGATTGAAATAATATTTGGCAGGAAATTTCTTGTTAAACAAAATGAAATTTTCCAGATATATTAACCAACATTCTAACAGTCGAAAATTGTCTTTGAGTATCACGTCATTACCATTGTTATGGTAACAATGGCGTTTCAATATGGCCGTCATTTTACCGATTCACGCATTTTACTCGAAAACAAGTTCGGTTACCCCACTTTTTCATTTTATAAAAAGTTTTCTTACAAAAAAATGGGAAATTTGAGCAAGTTTAAAAAATTCTATAAAGCCAAAAAATTTCTATGATGAAAAACCCCGTTTTTTAATTTCTATTAATTATGGCTCTATAGAATTTTTTTTAACTGGTTCAAATTTTCCATTTTTTTCTAAGAAAACTTTTCATAAAGTAAAAAATTGGGGTAACCGAACTTGTTTTCGAGTAAAATGCGTTAATAGGTAAAATGTCGGCCATATTGAATCGCCATTGTTACCATAACAACGATAATGACGTCATGCTTATGGGCAATTTCTGACTGTTAGAATGTTGGTTAATATATCTGGGAAATTTCTTTTCCTTACCAAGAAATCTTGTGCTAAAATTTTAAATCAAAACCACAAGTTTTCAATATTTTAAAAAATTGTAGGGAGCCACCTTAATCACAAAAGAATGTTTCAAGCTGACATGTTATAAAACGAAAAATCTTAGAAATGCATGCATTGTTTGAAAGCCCACCCACGTTTTGACCAAAACTACTCAAGCAGCATCATTTCGTGAAACAGACTGTAGTGGACGATTTTTGGTAAAACAATACTTTCAGCATATCTTAATCTCTATCTATAGTATTGAGCACTCTCTAGTTAGAGGAAGCCCAAAAAAATAAGCGTTCATATATGTTTATCATGCTATATTAATATTATGGCATGTGAGATGTTAAAAAAATCAAAATATAAACAGATCACTTAAACCCTCTCTCTCCCTCTTCCCACCTTTCTGTCCCTCTGCGTTACCTGGATCAAACCGTTGAAAACCATCAGGCATGATGCTGTGATCAATTCTGGGCAACATCAGAAATCCCACAATCATTGTTTTTAGAATACGAAATATGGCAGAAAAGACACCCATCGGAAGTCCCACGAAAAACCAGAAATAAGAAAACACCAAATAGACATTCCTGCGGAGAGGAAGAAAAATATACGATATTTCCAAGGTAAATCAGAGTGTGTCTCATATTTCTAAAGTAAAGTCCTTGAAATCCTACAAATATTTTAACTAAAAATGATGGCTTCGTGGTATTGGAATCTGACTCGACCAGTGTACCGTCTAGCCCCTCAGAAAGCGCAATGAAGGCGTACCTGTTGTTTATGGAAATGACGTTTCTAGAGAAGTTAAGATCCCGGAATATTGTCACAGAAGCTGCAATGGAGCACAGCCGAAAGAAAAGAGCCAAGCCAAAGAGTACGCTAAATAGAATGTTCAAACAAAAACTGTTAAGACTTGCATTAAAATGGAAGCCAAGTTCGTATGCAGACAAACGCTTTGTTTAAAGTTTAAACTTCAATAGTTTTAAAAAACGCTGTACTGTCTGAATATCTGACACTATTTAGGCTCGCTATGTTTTTAAATGAAATTAACGCTTATTAGAATATTTGATACGTGCGAAATATGGGTAAGTTTTATGCTACAGGACCCACATTGTTATGACTTATGAGCAGAACCGATACGGACTTGACTTCCTTTTGATTAGTTGATTCAGATGCAAAAACTGTATGAAAATAATATACAAAGTTTGGGTCAAAAGGTCTGAGTATTTCTGTCCATAAATGTACAAGTAAAATGCCAGCAATATTTAACAAAATATTTACGAAGGAAATGTGATTTATGTGAACGTGATTTATAAATAGACTACAATGCAAGGTGTACCCTTATAAGCATATGAAGGCAAAGTGTGCTCTTATATGATGGGCTTGGCGCCCTATCTAAAAACCGACAGGTAATAGAGTGCACGCAATATGGGAAAGGTGGTCAATGGCAATATGGGAAAGGTGGTCAATGGCAATTTGGGTCAATGGCCAGCAGCAATTCGAAAACTAACAAAGACCGAATACCCAAACCACAAACGGTCAGTTTATGCGTGACATAGCAGAAGACAGAGCTCGTTTACAGCTGAAATAGGTAATTTGTCTCCACCCTTTTCTGAGCATAAATATTTGGAATTTTAATGGAATGTATTTATAAATATCGTTTGTTTGACAGAAATAAAGCGGCTAGGAGAACCACTACTCCTAGCCAAAATCACCCCAAAACGGGTTAAAATTTTATTGATGCTCAGAAAACTGAGCTGCGGAAGGGGTATGCAAATTCATGGCTGGCAATATATATATATATATATATATATATATATATATATATATATATATATATATATATATATATATATATATATATATATATGCATGCGAAAATAAATCACATTACATAAATAGAGAGTAAGTATTTAAAGTATTTAACGTTGCAAAACAGGAGATACCTGAACACAATGTTTAATAACATTGCTAGAATGTTTAAATGAAAAAATCTTAAGGGTACATAAACACGGTTGATTCCACCTACCCGCCGCCCTTGATATAGCCGAGGATCCAATCCTGAACCCAGGAAAATTTCAAGGAATACAAAAGAAAACATGGGATACATATGGAAATCCAATTTAAAAGAAAGCCTGCAAAGAAAAAGAAGCGATATCAATGCAATATGACCATTAGGATGGCCCTCACTGTATAGAAAAAAATTTAACACAAAAATAGTTGATGAGTATAGTTGATGATCGTCTATCTATGGACAGGAGCAGAGTGTCGCGATATAATTAATTTCTCAATTAAACATGATGTATACACTGTTATAATGTTAAAGTGTTATAATAGCACCTCCATAACTGTAGATTTTATACCCCTTGCTTTGGTGGAAATAACAAATGCTACTGATCTAACATGTACCGATTTAGGGGTTGATCTAAACCATCAATTTGATGGTATAACATACTTATCATGCATAATCAACTAACACCTACCCCACAAAAAGTATCCAATTTGAAAACTATGATATCGAAGTCCTTTTCCCTGGAAAAATGGAGTAACGTAAGTGCATTGCTTGCTAGCGAGAGAGAGAGTGAATTCCCGTCGTCATTAAGATAACTGCAATGTTTACACGTAATGAAATTGTAAGTACACTTGCAACATTGATTAATTTTTTTATTATCAAATATATCCCTTTACTGAGAATTCTCTTGGCTCACTTCCCTGCTCGGATAACAACAACTTAGAAATGCAATTAGCCTTTCTCAGGATGACGTTTCTGGGTACTTTCAATTTTCTCAAACGGGTTTAAAAAATTATTTTAAAAAACAACATGAAAATAATTTTTTTTAGAATCAACAGACCATTTGAAGAATAAATTCAGCCTAAAATTAAAGACAGTCGCCGTTACAAGGTCTTGAGCTGTTGCACTTACAGTTTTGTAAAAAAGTACCCCCAAAATGGCGGCATATTTGTCATCGTGAGAAGACTAGTTGCTCAACTTACAACCATAAACTGAGACACGCTTATGTTCTTAGCGATGAACGATTTATCCCCTCTGAACATTCTCAGCATGTTATTCCTGAAATATAATACAAGGAAGATCAGGTATATAAAAACTAATCCAACACTACAGGGTGTCCTAAAAACCCTTAATTTTTTTCCGAATGCAAAATTCTTTTCGGTGTCCTATTGTAGAAAATACATGTTTTACAAACGTATAAAATGTATCTCGATGGATCTACGACGATTCAAATAAAACAATATTTTAAAAAAGAACTGCATTTTTGGATATACCACCTTTGGTTTAATTTGTTTTATCTAACATGAAGATTTGCACAAGTTTATAGAAATCATGCAGTATAGTAATTACTGACTTCTATATACTGATTCTTGGATTCAGCTCATAGCATTAGCCTATTGGTCTTGCTTAGTATGGCATTAGCTTACTGCATGCATGGTCTTGCTTTTTGAGGGAACCCTGAATATCAAAAACTATGGATTACGCTTCTTTTCTTCATACTTATGATTTTCCATGAAAAGAATGAGGGAAAGCGCACAGATCACAGTCGTGAGGATTGCACTAGCCAATGATGAACCTAGTAAAAAATGTTCAAAACAGTTTCTAGTATTCTCATATCGTACAACTCGATATCTGTAGTGACTGTATATAGCTCGAGGAACACTAACCAATAATCCCACGTGACAAATCCAAAATTGCTTCGTCTAAAGCATCCGAAGGTTTTGTTTTCTCAATTTCTCTCAATAGCACACTTGACAAATAGATGCAAAGAACGCAAAGCTTAAAGAGAAAAAGACAAGTATATGCTAGCGGGATGTACAGGGCGTCCTAATAAGAAGCATAAACTCTATATCTGTTATTCATTTAGAAATATAGTTCATTTAGAAAAATAGGATATTTTAAGAAATATAGCGACGCAATATGTAGACACAGCGTTTGTTTACCTTGCCGAATGTAATCTACTTTTAATCAGCACTTCTGAGGGATTTAGATCAAATATTTGAAAATTGAATTATTAGCAATATTATCTCTATAGAGATATATATTATAGCTTTAAAATGTTTTTGCTCCGTAGATATCTCAATCACCAAAAAGAAGTTGCAAATATCCCGGTTTCATTGGATTAAACATATATATATATATATATATATATATATATATATATATATATATATATATATATATATATATATATATATATATATAACAATTATAACAATTATAAATAAAAGTCTATTTGGAATAGATTTATATATATATATATATATATATTTGCAGAAGTAACTGCATAACGACATGTAAGGACGAAACTCCGTAATGTCAATAACATCTTAAGATCACAGTCGTTCCCAACTTGGCCTTGTAGCTCAGACGGTAGAGCAACGTTCTAGAAATGCGAAGGTCGCGGGTTCGATTCCCACCGGGGTCAAGTAGAATTTTCTGTTTGCCCGGTTGGTTATACTTGCGTAGAAAGAACATATAAAAACACACATATTACACAACCCTACAAGTGAACACATGGCTCAATTAAGAGCAAAAGTACATATATATATATATATATATATATATATATATATATATTTTTTTTTAAGAAAATGCAAAACTTACATTATAAAGCAGAATGCCGCAGATCATCATCACAGAGAGAGTTTCAGTCGAAAACTTAAAATCTAAAAATGTTAAACGAAACAATAACCAAACATATATTACTATCTGAGTACTTATATGCATTCATGTATACATATGTTATTTCGTAATAATTCTTTTCCTGATGATGACTATAGTTTAGTCGAAACCTCGAAAATTATGTTTTTCAAAAATTTACTCTTACTATTGATCAAATATTTGTCGAATACATATGTATATACGTGCATAGTATTTCTTATTACAAATGGGTGTTATTCTAAGCGAGGTTCTAACGCCGTCTGTCGTCATGCCTATACCGGGACTTACGCCTAATTTTATTCTAATTTCTAAAAGCTCACCCACACCCAAACCCATTGAGTGGATAATCTTAATTACTTTATATAGTGATTCTTTTGCGTATTTCTACTCGTATAAGACCTTGATTTTCAATTTTTTACCCTAATTAAACCCTTCCAATAGTTAAGAAAGGACTAGCTCATTGATCAGTTATAACATAATTTTTATGTTACACTCAATTAGTGTGAATGTGCTCTTTGAAAACGGGTAATAGTGCTTCATCGTATAAATCATCCAATCATCAAACAAGGTTATATACCTTTTTCGGGATTGTAAACTTTCCTCAGAAAAAACTTTATTCTTGAATATTGACGAGGTCTAGAAAAACAGGAAAATTCCTAGGATAGAATCTTTCCCAGTCGGACGTCACAGAGTTAAAAACAGATTTTAAAAATAAACACGCCTTCAAAAAATGAACGAAAGTAAGGTTTAATTTATTTGAGAAAGCGAGAGCAATTAAGCTCTAACAAGACAGTCTGAAAGAAAACATCATGAAACAAAGTCAAAGTTGCGTTTAGTTGCCCTTCGCAGCATAAACATGATTCAGTCATGGCGTAGACAGAAATTGACAGGTTGCTATTTGCTAATTAATGAGAATTTGGTAGAGCTAAAGTTGCTGAAATTTACTACATCTGGAAAAGTGAAGCTGGGCACTCATGTGGTTGTGGTTTTTGTTTGAAGACCTAAACACCTGCGTTATTCAACTTTTCAAAGAAAATTTAAAATCGGCGATTTTCGCCCAATTTTTCTGCTTATCACGAATAACAGGAATTAGTTTGCAAAACCTGTTCAAATCTGTTCATGCAGAAACTCGTTTTAACCAATAACGTTAACATGCGCTATCACACTTGATACAATTTTTTTCGTCTATATAATTAGCCAACCATTTTCGTTTTGTGCGCACATAGCTACTTCTTAACTTCTTTTGACGCAATGGTATTACACATGATCATACTTTGGTTTGAAAATGTTCTTCACGTGTTCCCTCAACCAAGGTCTGAGCAATTTCACTTGTGGAGACGAACTTTCATCCTAAACGGACATTAATTATTCGTGTGAAAATACAGCTGTGAAAACTGAGGAGATCAATGAGTTTCAGTGTAAGCGAGCTTTGATAGAATACAGGCTGAGTGTCCGGGGGTGAGGTGAACCCCTTCAATTAGTATTTACGAATATTTAAGGCTAGTCGTTCTCAAAATAGTCGCCAAATATCTAAAGCTAAATCTAGAAGTAAATCTCCAAATATCTAGAGGCTCATGCAGAATTTGAAAAAATTGTCACTCAGCACGAACCAAGGGGCTTCCTCGTGAACATCCCTCGACCAATGTTGACTACAGCCCCCCCCCCTCTCAATCCCAGCCCGTTCCCAACGCCTCTGAATGCAGCCCCAAAACGTGAGAGTTTCGCACCGTTTTTAAACTCTGCCGGTATCGTGTGAACAGGGAATAATAAAGATTACGTCACAAAAATACTTACATCGCGGGAAAATAGCTTTACTCCGAAGATTCCATATTCTTTAATTTCCCGATAAAATACGAATATGAACTTGCCCAGGATAAACAGATTGCTTATCACTATTGGCAAAATCATCAATACGAATAATGCGATGTAGGTCGAAGAATTATTCTTTAAGAATTTAAAAATGAAATTATATATTAGTACCTTCATGTTCACTAACGGTAAAAATAAAGATCGGCAAATCTTTATGCACCGATATTTTTTCAAGCTCCGTAAGCGCGCTGGTTTATAACTAGACAAAAATTGCCAAATCAAACTTACCTGACATCTCTGAAACGTTTGTGTTAAAGTTACACAAAAACTGTAATAAAAAAAAGTTAATTGGTTAATTATACACGGAGGAAAATGTTGTTTTCTGAATTCCGTGTTTTCAATAATTTTGTTACTGTTTGTTGATCCATAATGTGTGTCGGTTTATAACCAGCATTTTCAAAACAATCTATAAAAGCCACCACCGGCCATGGGAAAAATGTTGGAGACGACGTAAAAGCCAAAGGTTTGTGGGGCGCAAATGTAACTTTTGCCGTGAATTAAACGTACTTTCGCAAAAACATAGAGATTTTGTTTCGTAACGTGATAACGTTTGAAATAGGGGAGGTCTGAATCGTCTTTTTATGGGGGATAATTAGATACCCCCCCCCCGCACACAACTTAAAAAACTGGAGGAGTCGTGTCCTCCTACACCTTACTGCGAACATAATACTGTCGCATACATGTGCATACAAATTTAATTTCATTGCGAGTTTCCGCTTCACATTGTTTAAACAGCGCTGAACTAAAACTTTAAGGGCTGGTACACGCGTAAAGATCATCATGTTGATGGAAGTTGTTTAAAACAGGAGTGAACTATGTTGTGCTGCTCCATGTGCACAGCATTGTTAACAATAGTTTTTGAACCATCAGTAGCCTTGCCCAACTTGTTGGCAATCATGTCAACATGCAAATTGTTCATGGAGCCACAGCACAATATTGCTCACTTCTGATGCGACGAACTAATCAATTTTTTGCCGTGTAGGTCTGTTTCCAGGTTAAAGTGCGCGTATCATGGTTGCGGATTTTGAATATATCTGTATTTTAAAAAATTTCGCAATTCACTTTGTTATTGAAAAATTTTGTCTTGATGGCTTTTAGCCCTCTTAAAGTTACCGGACATGACGTCAAATCGGGAATTTCAAATCAGTTTTCTTTTGTTTTAGTTGCACGGAAACCTCAATAATTGTAAGCACACTTACTTGACTATACAATATGGAAGACCCATCATTGCACCAAATATTTTGTGATACGTCGTCAGGCAAGCAAAGTAGGGATAATAAATGACAGCATATTCAATTGCAATGCCGAAGAGAAGGAACGCTGGATGTAATTTACAAAAAACGGGTACAATTACTTAAACGATACTTTGAGAATTGAAGAACTGTAAAATACTTCGTAAAAAATTAAAAAATGGGAGAATAAAAAGGATTTTAATTCTTTCTTTAGGCAGCATTGCTGCATCAAAAAAATTTCGCCTGATTTTCTTTTCAATTGTGAGAATTCGACGGTAGCAGATTGCCTTGATCCAGCGAAACGTTCTTTACAATACGCCTCCTGTTATTTTAGATGATAGTATGGATGATTTTTACCTTTTTCCCAACCGTTTGAACCTGAAATTTCAAACTTTGTGACTAGCGTAATGATTGATTCAGTAGCAGCTCCAAACACAAACATGGTGGCAAGTCGGTCATGATCAATACCAAGGAAATCAACAGGGCTACAGATTGTAGATTTAATATCTTAATACAAAGTTTGATTTGATTATCTCTTATTTAATTTGATCATCCTTTACAAAAAATATCTAGTTTCGACTTGAGATCTTCTTTCTTTAGTTGACATGCACCGAAGGACGTATGCGACGTTATATTATTTATGTAAATGTCCAAACATACAAGTTCTTCATTGTGATTGGCTAGATGTATAATGATTGGAAATAAGACGGTGTATGCGTTTTGGATGCTCGTTGAAAATAATTAGATGATCACAGATTTATTTCGTTTATATTTATGGTATTTTTCATGGCGAGAAATTGTGGACACGCATGCGTGTTAATCGTGTGGACTTTAAATTTTTTTTGTAAACAAAATGGCGACGCGTTATTATAGAATTGTATTGGAGTTAGGAATAAAATTGTGTTTAACGTGAACCTTTAAGGGAAGCGTAAAATGTCGGACCTAAAATTGGTAGATCATGGTGACAACTTTTATCGACGGAAAATTTGTAATATAACGATATACAAATTTCATTCGGTATCACGACATTTAACTATGAACTAGGGGTGAAATAAAATATATAGCCCAGTACGTAAATACCTCAAAGCGGCCTAAATAAATGCCATTTTCTAACCATTGTGATTGGCGAATACTAAGTGTCGCATCTCCCTTAGCTTGCCAGTACAGTGTGTTTCAATCGGTAAATCTTCCCAAATCTGTACGATTTTTACGTAGTTCGGTATTTTGAACTAACTTTAGTGCAAAATTGGTATATTCCAGCCGTGAAATTTGACCCCCGAGCAAAAGCGCACTGGAATGGCTAACAGAACAAACTAAATATCGGCCTTTCTTGCTCGAATATGCATCCATTTTGCTTGTTTTTAGTACAAGCTTTGTGACCAAGCCTTAGTCTCTAAGCAAACTTAATATATTCATAAACATTGCCGTCTATGGCTGGAATATTACATAATTATGTTGAAACCGGCAAAATTTTGAAATTAATTTCGCGCAATATTCATAACAACAAACGCAGTATATTTTAGCGTCTGTAGCAGTTAGGTTAATGTTTTTAAAGCATATAGAAACAAGCTCTTAAATGTCTGACGCAACTATTTCTTTGGCGAATTTTAAATGGAAATGTGCGGTCAAATATGTTGTTCTACGTCGCCAAACAAGCCATATATCAGGTGACATGTTATATACTGTATGGCTATTCGCAATAGCGTTTTGCTACAATGGCATAACGCATAATCCAAACAGGAAAATTACATAGACTTTCTCAACGAGAGTCGAGATAATTCCCGATGAATCCGTCCGGACTATGCGCGCTGCGCGCACCGTTTAGCTTCCTTTGGAATTTTTTTGCTGATCTTTTAAATACTTTGTGTATGACCCTTGAAAGTCAGACACTTAACTCCTCCCACTTATGTCCACATTTTCTCGCCATGCGTTAGGTTTATAGCAATGGAACTGCGGACAACACACTCCGTATACTTAAACTAAAACTATTTAACAATCAGTCGCCGAAGGCGAAGTAAATATAGTGAATCACCGAGCCTGAGGCGACTAATTGTTTTAGTATAAATTTTGAGGTGTTTACAAATAATAATCAACATAATTTCACAAAGATTTATAATGAATTCAAATTTCTTAGCTGAAATACAACGACAAAAAGCTATAGCCACCGGTCAGTGATTATCACTTCAGCGACAATGAATCTTGACCTATCAGAATGCAGGAAAATCAATACTAATAATTTTTATATGCATCCAACATTATAAATAGTCAGAAAACAAAAACACGCACGGAATAACAGTGTAAGTTTTCATCTCATACAACAAATGTTGTTTCCCTTAAATGTTGACATTCACGGAGATAACTCGTCCACTACTGCCAAATTGTATATATCGAATTTACGAAATTCCGAATTCGTTTCGAAGTTCGCAAATTCATTGCGAAGTTCAGGCTCAACATTCCAAATATGGAATGTATTCCGGAAGTTCAAAGGAACTTTGAATTTTACGATGAAGGTCAGCTGAAATTAACTGTAGCGTAAGTTTCCTTCGTTAATGAGGCTATAAGTCCTTCGGTGCATGTAACTTTTAGGATTAGTCGATAATAGCAATTAGCGTATATATAGTGATAAATTTATTGGGTTTCCAGTGGCGAAAGTAGGCGAACTATTATTTGCTTTCGGTCATTCATAGTCGTTGAAATGGTAGAAAATTTAACTTCATACCATCTAACCTGTCTTGATGGTGACTCACTACAACAAAAACAGACCGTCCTTTCTCTCAAGAATTCTTATTCGACAGACAGGCCTGGTATCATCCTTACAAAAATAAACTTACATAACGAGTCCTGGTCGACCTCCCCAAAAATCTTTCTTGTAACTTTTTCTTCGTCGCAAAAACGCCAAAATTGTCAGAATCATTGCCTGAAACAGATTTTACGTTTTCTTATTTTCTGTATCGAAAAATATGAAAAACTGTTTTATTTTTGTCTAATACACGTGGTCGATGGTTTTTCAGTTATGGATGAGTTCGTTGCAAGGTGACTCATAACCTCGTGACTAACAGGATCTTAGTAGTTAAATTGAAGGGATTTCCCCAGAGAAATTATAATTTAAAAATGATTTCATATAAAATCATCAAGCGTTGTTTTTGACACTTATACTTCATTACATCACTCCATAACAGATTATAAACGCAGTAGCCATATCAACACTTAGCAAGCCGATTTTTATACACTCGGAATAGTAAACATGGCAATTAAGCTCCTAATCTTAACTAAGCTCTTCCTATCATCCTATTTCGAAAGCCCTAAAAAGAAACCACAGGATGCTGATTAAGTTTCGTAACACAAGTGTGACATTTTAAACTTACAGCAGGTATCAATAAGAAATGAGGATAATATCTTGTATCAACATCACATGCAGCACTAGAAATAAGAAAACACATTGACACTTGAAACAATTACAGACATTTGTAGCCAAGCAATTATCATGTATACTCACGCAGTGGGAGATTCGTTGGATGATAAGTTTGTCTGGTTAGTCATTGCTGGTGAGATACGTAAGCTATAAGAGAAATCGGAATAAGGCCTGCTATCCATTGCAACAATATTGTAGCGAAGCTTAGCGTAATCCTTAATTTGTTTCAAAGTCATTAGTTCTATCTGTGAGTGCCTAGGAAAGAATGATATATTCGCTGCGGTACGGCCGAAGTGGAAAACAGCGCTAAGCCAGGTTGTGACCAACAATAGACTACAACTTTTTATCTATGCAAGGAAATGCAATCAAATCACCACAGCTGAAAAGAGCTTACTGAAATTACTCAAGTAGTAGAAATGCAAAGTTTGGTTGCGAAATGTTGTAAAATACAGAAAATATAGCCTTGCGAAGTTCGCAAATTTGTATACTTTTCAGGACAAACGGAAATTGTTACCACATTTAGGTCAAAAATGGTAACAATTTCTGTTTGTCCTAAAAAGTATATACAAATTTGCAAACTTTGCAAGCATAAAGGTTCGACCTACGACATAATCACATAAAATGGTCATCATATACGTTATATCTGATGTCAAGCCTCACTAGTACACTACAATTCTACAAACAGGGAGCTTTAGCAGTGACTACGAGTACGACGACGAAAACTCGGCCAAAACTCGTAGTCGTTGAGTACGCGTATAGATATGATGAGGGTTCACACACAAATTTAACCACACGGTCCCTTTCTCTAGCAAATGAGAGGAGTTTATTTTCATGTTTGTTGTCAATATAAATGGTTCGGCTCCATTTTCAAATTTCGGGGGGTGATGCCTCTAGTCACGCTTTTTTAATCAGAAGTGAAACATCTGGGTGTAATCTGTATCGTAAGCAAACAACGCGCGAGATTCTCGCGGCGAGAATGACGAATCTCATACTCGTAGTCACTTCTAAAGCTCCTTGATAATACAGATAACAGGTATTGGCGAATTTATGTAATTATATGTAATATATAAATATATATTAGCCGCTATTCTGCTATTAGGAACAACGATGCTTCACAATAGTGAGTCTACACTGTCAATTTATTTCCAAATATAGAAGCAATGGATAATGCTTTAGGATTAGTCAAATATGCTTTATATTTCTCTTTCATTTTCCTAATTGAGCATGTAAACTATATAGTAGAGTAGCCTGAATATAAGTTATATAGCGACAAGCCAGTCTACAATAAAGTAATAACAATGTCGATATTTTTGCGGACTTACGGACGATTGATTTTTCCTGGAAACAAAATTCTCTGGATGGAAACGCTTCTTGCTCGAAATAAAAGTTTACGCTTGACACGGGAATCGAGACGTATCGGGTTTCATAACTACATAAGCCTGATTCTCAAATTTCACGGCCTGACAGTCGGCAATTATCAGAGTCAGTGGCACATGAAATGAATTTAGGCATTTGAAATAAACGACAGAATTTTTAATTGCAAACATGTTTCGACTTAACTATATATAAGCCATCTTCAGTGCGAATGAATTAGTTATTTACATTGTTAAATATATAAAGTAGAAATAAATCAAATAATGATACAGGCGAGGTGATACTCAATGAATAACATAATTGCGTTCGACGAAGGAGAACGCTTCCTAATCGTGACGTCACGGCTGGATGCTATGTCATTTCGAGATTTTTGGATGTAACATTTGCCTCGGTTTCGTGTTTTTGCGTATGCTCTGATTTCCGGGTTTTGTGCCGTTCCTAATGTCACGTGCTTTCCGTATTTTGCGATAATACGCTGTTGTTTATAGGACCGGGCATTTGGCTTTCATATTCGCCTGTTTATTAAGAAGTTATGGGAATTGTACACTCGATTATTTTGATTTGAAGTGTCTGCAATATGACTGAGAATTCTCGTCAAAGCATCAGGAAGCTATCTTCCGTTGGTTTAACCATGCGAAATCCGGAATTTTATTTGCTCATAAAGTAAACAAACCGCACCACCGAACGCACTTGCTAATCTTTGATTACTTCTAGTTATTTACTACAATGATTGACAACATAACAGGATACAAGATATGCATAATAAGTAGAACAGCACGACAGACACAGACCAAATGGGTAACACGGGTAACGGATAACCGGGTAATCGAATAGCCGGATAACCGGTAACTCTAGTAACTGATCATTGATAAATATCCATGTTCGATATCGAAATGAAGATCATTTCTAGTCTTAACGGTAAATTAGATTAAGAATAACAGTAACTTCAATTTCTATAACTAGGATATCTATTTACATTTTTGAATCTAGATGTCTTCAGTGTTTGTAGAAGTCTTCACCGCATTTAACAAAACGTTAGATTTAATAACAAAACTTTTGAATTTCCAATGATTATTGATATCATGTTTTTAAAGTAGTATCTGACTGTTTGATCGCGTAGAAAAACGTTCTCGCAGATGCTTTAGGTGAAACAACTGAATGAAGGGTCGAATGTCCGAACTGATGGGACTTAATTTGCGGGCTTCAAAAGTTTGATCCTTATTCTTAGCACATGAGTTGCACAATGAAAATATTCATTTCTCAGCTGGCTTTTCGCTTGTCCTTGGTATGTATACTCTGGGAACATTTTAGACACAATAACTATATCGTTGGGTGGCTCTGGGATATGATTGCAAACCAGAGCAGCAAAAGCTGCAAAATAGAGCAGCGAGGGTAATCACCAAATCTCTAATTGATGCTAGTTCCAGCGACCTTTTTAACAAACTAGGTTGGGATATTCTTTTAATACGCCGGAAAAAACATAAGGGTGTAATGATGTTCAAAACTCTAAATGATTAAACACCGACATATCTTCTTGATTTATTTCAAGTTCGCAGCACTAGATACAACTTAAGAAATTCTGAGAACACTTTAATTATTTGTGCCAAAACCGCGAACAAATTATGCAAAACGTAGTTTTAGTTATAGTGGTGCAGTGTTGTGGAATGAGTTACCACTAAATGTACGAGCATTTTATGCTCCCTTAACCAGTTTAAAAGAGAGATTAGACTCCCGCACGGCAATCTTGTAAATCGTTCAGTCTTGTGTAATTGTCCTATGTATACCTGTACTTTGTAACTTTTCTTTAAATGTCCAATAACCTTTTTATACTGTAGATTTTACCGTGGTTAAATAAAGTTGATTGATTGATTGATTGATTTTTGATTGATTGATTGATTTTTGATTGATTGATTGATCTTCATATTCTCGCAAGTTTTCACCACATCCAAAGCATTTCCTCGCATAGATCAAAAAGTAGTCTATAATGCAAAAGGTCTATATCTGCATAAAGATTAAAGGCATTATTTGCATAAGGTTTAAAGGGTCTTAATTGCGAGTGCCAAAAATCATAATTATTTGCATAATTTCTATATTCATACAGACAAGGAAACAAAGCAATAAAAGTGAGAACTAATTCAATTCTTCCTGGCAAAAGTATGAAGCCGAGATGGCGGAAATTGAAGAAGCTATAGAGTATAGTACCATCACAGTACGTGCTAGCGGTGCTACAGCCTTCAATCATCATGCAAGAATGACGGCGATCGACGGACCAACCACCAGCCTAACGCTTTCCCAAATCTTTGTAATTTGCCTGCCCAAAAAATTGCCTCATCCCAACTTCGGGGCCTTTCTTTGTTGCTAAAAACCATCATCTTAACTGACCGACTAAAACCCTGATAAATTATATCGACCTGATTCGATCATGATCTCGACTTCTGAACTTGTCTTTGTGGCTTTCACAGAAAACGTGTCTTTGTGGCTTTGACAGATATTGTAAGGACTTCAATACACGCATGCATATCTGAATGAATTTCAGCCATATCAATGTCTCCATAATAATGATAATATCGTAGTATATAGAATTACGAGTACACGACATGCAGTTGAATTCTGTACACTTGATTAATGTTAATATTCGACGTTTCGACCTACGGCTACGACAAAATCACATAAAATAGACATCAAATACTTTATATCTCATGCCGCAAGCCTCGCTAGTAAACAACAATTCTACAAATAGGGAGCTTTAGCAGTGACGAGTACGACTACGAGTACCACTAGGTGTACGACTACGAGTACGAAAATTCGGCAAAAACTCGTAGTCGTTGGGCTTTCGAGTACGAAATTTATCAAAATACTCGTACTCAAAAGCTCGACGACTACGAATCTTGGCTGATGGGAGGATGGCGTAAGCAAACAACGATATGTAATTATGTAAATTTTAATATATATCAGCTGCTATTCTGCTAATATTTGTCTGCTATTCTGCTAAACACTGTCAGTTTGTTTCCAAATATATGAGAAGCAATGGTTAATGCTTTAGGATTAGTCAGATATGTCTATATTTCTTTTTATTTTCCTAATTGTGCACGTAAACCATACAGTAGAGTAGAATATAAGTTATATAGCGACAAGCCAGTACACAATAAAATAATAACAATGTCGATATTATTGTCGACTTACGGACAATTGAATTTTCCTGGGAAAGAAAATTTCTGGATGGAAACGCTTCTTGCTTGAAATAACAGTTTATGCTTGACACGGGAATCGAGACGTATCAGGTTTCATAACTACATAAGCCTGTTTCTCAAATTTCACGGCCTCAAGTCGGCAATTGGAGCGATTTAGCATGAGGACGTGATCAAAGACGATGTGAAAATGGCGAATAAGTGGCGTTTGCGCCCAAATATGGACATGCCACGCCATTTACTCGCCATTTTCACGTCGTCTATGACGTTCACGTCTTGATGCTAAATCTCCCTATTATCAGCGTCAGTGGCACATGAAATGAACTTAAGCATTTGAAATTAATTTTTAATAGCAAACATGTTTCGACTTAACTATAAGCCATCTTCAGTGCGAATGAATTGGTTATTTACATTGTTAAATATATAAAATAGAAATTAAATCTCCCCGGAGGGTCACCTGACGGGGAGATGTAGTTCTCCGAGGACCTTCGAAGATTGATAGGAGCAATACTGGTGCAGAACCGCGGCCAGCAGTGGTCTGGAACCCACGCTAATTTATCGGTATATAACGATTGGGGAACCAGTATTGTTCCTATCAGTCTTCGAAGGTCCTCGGAGAACTACATCTCCCCGTCAGGTGAGTACCCTCCGGGGAAATTTAATTCCTCCTTCGTACCTTCTTCGACTGATACTCACAATACTGGTGCAGATTTCAAAGCCTTACTGCAAGGCCTCTGATACTAAACCGACAAACAAAGCAAAACAGAAAATGAACTTTTAATTTTCAACAACTATGTACTTAACACAGCATTTGCAAAGGTATTTTGAGTCTTTTTATGATGTTTGTTAAAAACATTTGCCGAAAACCAATCAAGCTGCACCTAGTATAATCTCCAACGGCACGCCCACGTTTGCGCTTCCGATATCGAGGTTGATCTCGTTGAATGTCCCGTGTAGTCTACAGATATTCCTGCTTTAGCAAGCAAGGATCGCAGCAAGGACAGTGTTTGGGATCCAATAGCTTTGTGAGGAACCTTGTACCGGTGCACTATATTTGTTATTTTAATACTACATTTCTTCATTAACCACAACATGACAACAAGGCTTGATATCGTCAAAACACCGTGCTTTTCACATTCGAAAATGCATGTGTGGATGAAAATGTTTTGTCATGCACGGTTCGTTTCCAAACGTAATACAACTAGCTAATAAAAAAAGAAAATCTAATACAACTATAACTAGCTAATAAAAAAGAAAGTCTAAAGAAACATGCAAACTTAACATTGTTTACTTATCTAGTATTAATCCTGCATTATCTGGGCCATAATTACCAACATCGATTTTGACGTCGCTATCTTTGACACACATTGTGTTCGCACGTTTTCGTTCAGCTGCAAGTTGTGGATTGCGAGCCAAGGTGAGTGCGATGAACCACTTGGCGCGGGCCTGGGGAGAGCGAGTCCACTTTGGTCCACATTTCCTTTCTAGGATATATACAACGATGAGGAAGTCAGATAAACATTCTTTGATATTGGAAAACTGAATTTAGCGCTAGTGGTTGGTGGTTATGACCACCACAAGTGTGGCAATGATTGCATGAGTCTATAATAGAGGTTTTCTATGTCATTCAAATAACCAATTGTTGTATCGTTAATTGGCATAATTAATCATGATGATAAGTTATATGGATATTAGTATTCGCATATACAATGAATAATGTATATATATATAATATATATATATATATTATAATATATATATATATATATATATATATAGTTTTTAAATACTGATATAGGTATATATTCTCTGAGTACTTGACTGAGTGGGACCAATACCAATTAATGTGAACGATTCCGAGAATAGTTTAAAAACAGCTGAATTCCGAATGAATTAATAATAATTATATGGATAGCCCGTTTTGCTTCTGTTGATGATTAATAACTATTTACAAGCTACCGTTAACCGTGGTGTATAGGTTTTAACCTTTCTTCAGAACTTACGTGTTTCGTGATCATCGATCAGTGTTTGACAAACCACTCGAAGAACTGGGTTTCTGAAAGCTGCTTGGACGTGAAGATAACAGATGTACGCATTGTAACCTTTTAAAGAATTAAGATATAGATAGATACCTTTTTGTTAAACAAAAAATCATAATTAGTTTCCTTATTTAAGGTGGCTTGCTACAGTTTTAAGAACATGGACAACTAATGATTTAGATTGAAATAATATTTGGCAGGAAATTTCTTGTTAAACAAAATGAAATTTTTAGATATATTAACCAACATTCTAACAGTCGAAAATTGTCTTTGAGTATCACGTCATTACCGTTGTTATGGTAACAATGGCGTTTCAATATGGCCGTCATTTTACCTATTCACGCATTTTACTCGAAAACAAGTTCGGTTACCCCACTTTTTCATTTTATAAAAAGTTTTCTTACAAAAAAATGGGAAATTTGAGCAAGTTTAAAAAAATTCTATAAAGCCAAAAAATTTCTATGATGAAAAACCCCGTTTTTTAATTTCTATTAATTATGGCTCTATAGAATTTTTTTTAACTGGTTCAAATTTTCCATTTTTTTCTAAGAAAACTTTTCATAAAATAAAAAATTGGGGTAACCGAACTTGTTTTCGAGTAAAATGCGTTAATAGGTAAAATGTCGGCCATATTGAATCGCCATTGTTACCATAACAACGATAATGACGTCATGCTTATGGGCAATTTCTGACTGTTAGAATGTTGGTTAATATATCTGGGAAATTTCTTTTCCTTACCAAGAAATCTTGTGCTAAAATTTTAAATCAAAACCACAAGTTTTCAATATTTTAAAAAATTGTAGGGAGCCACCTTAATCACAAAAGAATGTTTCAAGCTGACATGTTATACGAAAAAATCTTAGAAATGCATGCATTGTTTGAAAGCCCACCCACGTTTTGACCAAAACTACTCAAGCAGCATCATTTCGTGAAACAGACTGTAGTGGACGATTTTTGGTAAAACAATACTTTCAGCATATCTTAATCTCTATCTATAGTATTGAGCACTCTCTAGTTAGAGGAAGCCCAAAAAAATAAGCGTTCATATATGTTTATCATGCTATATTAATATTATGGCATGTGAGATGTTAAAAAAATCAAAATATAAACAGATCACTTAAACCCTCTCTCTCCCTCTTCCCACCTTTCTGTCCCTCTGCGTTACCTGGATCAAACCGTTGAAAACCATCAGGCATGATGCTATGATCAATTCTGGGCAACATCAGAAATCCCACAATCATTGTTTTTAGAATACGAAATATGGCAGAAAAGACACCCATCGGAAGTCCCACGAAAAACCAGAAATAAGAAAACACCAAATAGACATTCCTGCGGAGAGGAAGAAAAATATACGATATTTCCAAGGTAAATCAGAGTGTGTCTCATATTTCTAAAGTAAAGTCCTTGAAATCCTACAAATATTTTAACTAAAAATGATGGCTTCGTGGTATTGGAATCTGACTCGACCAGTGTACCGTCTAGCCCCTCAGAAAGCGCAATGAAGGCGTACCTGTTGTTTATGGAAATGACGTTTCTAGAGAAGTTAAGATCCCGGAATATTGTCACAGAAGCTGCAATGGAGCACAGCCGAAAGAAAAGAGCCAAGCCAAAGAGTACGCTAAATAGAATGTCAAACAAAAACTGTTAAGACTTGCATTAAAATGGAAGCCAAGTTCGTATGCAGACAAACGCTTTGTTTAAAGTTTAAACTTCAATAGTTTTAAAAAACGCTGTACTGTCTGAATATCTGACACTATTTAGGCTCGCTATGTTTTTAAATGAAATTAACGCTTATTAGAAATATTTGATACGTGCGAAATATGGGTAAGTTTTATGCTACAGGACCCACATTGTTATGACTTATGAGCAGAACCGATACGGACTTGACTTCCTTTTGATTAGTTGATTCAGATGCAAAAACTGTATGAAAATAATATACAAAGTTTGGGTCAAAAGGTCTGAGTATTTCTGTCCATAAAATGTACAAGTAAAATGCCAGCAATATTTAACAAAATATTTACGAAGGAAATGTGATTTATGTGAACGTGATTTTATAAATAGACTACAATGCAAGGTGTACCCTTATAAGCATATGAAGGCAAAGTGTGCTCTTATATGATGGGCTTGGCGCCCTATCTAAAAAACCGACAGGTAATAGAGTGCACGCAATATGGGAAAGGTGGTCAATGGCAATATGGGAAAGGTGGTCAATGGCAATTTGGGTCAATGGCCAGCAGCAATTCGAAAACTAACAAAGACCGAATACCCAAACCACAAACGGTCAGTTTATGCGTGACATAGCAGAAGACAGAGCTCGTTTACAGCTGAAATAGGTAATTTGTCTCCACCCTTTTCTGAGCATAAATATTTGGAATTTTAATGGAATGTATTTATAAATATCGTTTTGTTTGACAGAAATAAAGCGGCTAGGAGAACCACTACTCCTAGCCAAAATCACCCCAAAACGGGTTAAAATTTTATTGATGCTCAGAAAACTGAGCTGCGGAAGGGGTATGCAAAATTCATGGCTGGCAATATATATATATATATATAATATATATATATATATATAATATATATAATATATATATATAATATATATAATATATGCATGCGAAAATAAATCACATTACATAAATAGAGAGTAAGTATTTAAAGTATTTAACGTTGCAAAACAGGAGATACCTGAACACAATGTTTAATAACATTGCTAGAATGTTTAAATGAAAAAATCTTAAGGGTACATAAACACGGTTGATTCCACCTACCCGCCGCCCTTGATATAGCCGAGGATCCAATCCTGAACCCAGGAAAATTTCAAGGAATACAAAAGAAAACATGGGATACATATGAAATCCAATTTAAAAGAAAGCCTGCAAAGAAAAAGAAGCGATATCAATGCAATATGACCATTAGGATGGCCCTCACTGTATAGAAAAAAATTTAACACAAAAATAGTTGATGAGTATAGTTGATGATCGTCTATCTATGGACAGGAGCAGAGTGTCGCGATATAATTAATTTCTCAATTAAACATGATGTATACACTGTTATAATGTTAAAGTGTTATAATAGCACCTCCATAACTGTAGATTTTATACCCCTTGCTTTGGTGGAAATAACAAATGCTACTGATCTAACATGTACCGATTTAGGGGTTGATCTAAACCATCAATTTGATGGTATAACATACTTATCATGCATAATCAACTAACACCTACCCCACAAAAAGTATCCAATTTGAAAACTATGATATCGAAGTCCTTTTCCCTGGAAAAATGGAGTAACGTAAGTGCATTGCTTGCTAGCGAGAGAGAGAGTGAATTCCCGTCGTCATTAAGATAACTGCAATGTTTACACGTAATGAAATTGTAAGTACACTTGCAACATTGATTAATTTTTTATTATCAAATATATCCCTTTACTGAGAATTCTCTTGGCTCACTTCCCTGCTCGGATAACAACAACTTAGAAATGCAATTAGCCTTTCTCAGGATGACGTTTCTGGGTACTTTCAATTTTCTCAAACGGGTTTAAAAAATTATTTTAAAAAACAACATGAAAATAATTTTTTTTAGAATCAACAGACCATTTGAAGAATAAATTCAGCCTAAAATTAAAGACAGTCGCCGTTACAAGGTCTTGAGCTGTTGCACTTACAGTTTTGTAAAAAAGTACCCCCAAAATGGCGGCATATTTGTCATCGTGAGAAAGACTAGTTGCTCAACTTACAACCATAAACTGAGACACGCTTATGTTCTTAGCGATGAACGATTTATCCCCTCTGAACATTCTCAGCATGTTATTCCTGAAATATAATACAAGGAAGATCAGGTATATAAAAACTAATCCAACACTACAGGGTGTCCTAAAAACCCTTAATTTTTTTCCGAATGCAAAATTCTTTTCGGTGTCCTATTGTAGAAAATACATGTTTTACAAACGTATAAAATGTATCTCGATGGATCTACGACGATTCAAATAAAACAATATTTTAAAAAAGAACTGCATTTTTGGATATACCACCTTTGGTTTAATTTGTTTTATCTAACATGAAGATTTGCACAAGTTTATAGAAATCATGCAGTATAGTAATTACTGACTTCTATATACTGATTCTTGGATTCAGCTCATAGCATTAGCCTATTGGTCTTGCTTAGTATGGCATTAGCTTACTGCATGCATGGTCTTGCTTTTTGAGGGGAACCCTGAATATCAAAACTATGGATTACGCTTCTTTTTCTTCATACTTATGATTTTCCATGAAAAGAATGAGGGAAAGCGCACAGATCACAGTCGTGAGGATTGCACTAGCCAATGATGAACCTAGTAAAAAATGTTCAAAACAGTTTCTAGTATTCTCATATCGTACAACTCGATATCTGTAGTGACTGTATATAGCTCGAGGAACACTAACCAATAATCCCACGTGACAAATCCAAAATTGCTTCGTCTAAAGCATCCGAAGGTTTTGTTTTCTCAATTTCTCTCAATAGCACACTTGACAAATAGATGCAAGAACGCAAAGCTTAAAGAGAAAAAGACAAGTATATGCTAGCGGGATGTACAGGGCGTCCTAATAAGAAGCATAAACTCTATATCTGTTATTCATTTAGAAATATAGTTCATTTAGAAAAATAGGATATTTTAAGAAATATAGCGACGCAATATGTAGACACAGCGTTTGTTTACCTTGCCGAATGTAATCTACTTTTTAATCAGCACTTCTGAGGGATTTAGATCAAATATTTGAAAATGAATTATTAGCAATATTATCTCTATAGAGATATATATTATAGCTTTAAAATGTTTTTGCTCCGTAGATATCTCAATCACCAAAAAGAAGTTGCAAATATCCGGTTTCATTGGATTAAACTATATATATATATATATAATATATATATATATATATATAATATATATATATATATATATATATATATATATATATAACAATTATAAATTATAAATAAAGTCTATTTGGAATAGATTTATATATATATTATAATATATATTGCAGAAGTAACTGCATAACGACATGTAAGGACGAAACTCCGTAATGTCAATAACATCTTAAGATCACAGTCGTTCCCAACTTGGCCTTGTAGCTCAGACGGTAGAGCAACGTTCTAGAAATGCGAAGGTCGCGGGTTCGATTCCCACCGGGGTCAAGTAGAATTTTCTGTTTGCCCGGTTGGTTATACTTGCGTAGAAAGAACATATAAAAAACACATATTACACAACCCTACAAGTGAACACATGGCTCAATTAAGAGCAAAAGTACATATATATATATATATATATATATATATATATATATATTTTTTTTTAAGAAAATGCAAAACTTACATTATAAAGCAGAATGCCGCAGATCATCATCACAGAGAGAGTTTCAGTCGAAAACTTAAAATCTAAAAATGTTAAACGAAACAATAACCAAACATATATTACTATCTGAGTACTTATATGCATTCATGTATACATATGTTATTTCGTAATAATTCTTTTCCTGATGATGACTATAGTTTAGTCGAAACCCGAAAATTATGTTTTTCAAAATTTACTCTTACTATTGATCAAATATTTGTCGAATACATATGTATATACGTGCATAGTATTTCTTATTACAAATGGGTGTTATTCTAAGCGAGGTTCTAACGCCGTCTGTCGTCATGCCTATACCGGGACTTACGCCTAATTTTATTCTAATTTCTAAAAGCTCACCCACACCCAAACCCATTGAGTGGATAATCTTAATTACTTTATATAGTGATTCTTTTGCGTATTTCTACTCGTATAAGACCTTGATTTTCAATTTTTTACCCTAATTAAACCCTTCCAATAGTTAAGAAAGGACTAGCTCATTGATCAGTTATAACATAATTTTTATGTTACACTCAATTAGTGTGAATGTGCTCTTTGAAAACGGGTAATAGTGCTTCATCGTATAAATCATCCAATCATCAAACAAGGTTATATACCTTTTTCGGGATTGTAAACTTTCCTCAGAAAAAACTTTATTCTTGAATATTGACGAGGTCTAGAAAAACAGGAAAATTCCTAGGATAGAATCTTTCCCAGTCGGACGTCACAGAGTTAAAACAGATTTTAAAAATAAACACGCCTTCAAAAAAAATGAACGAAAGTAAGGTTTAATTTATTTGAGAAAGCGAGAGCAATTAAGCTCTAACAAGACAGTCTGAAGAAAACATCATGAAACAAAGTCAAAGTTGCGTTTAGTTGCCCTTCGCAGCATAAAATGATTCAGTCATGGCGTAGACAGAAATTGACAGGTTGCTATTTGCTAATTAATGAGAATTTGGTAGAGCTAAAGTTGCTGAAATTTACTACATCTGGAAAAGTGAAGCTGGGCACTCATGTGGTTGTGGTTTTTGTTTGAAGACCTAAACACCTGCGTTATTCAACTTTTCAAAGAAAATTTAAAATCGGCGATTTTCGCCCAATTTTTCTGCTTATCACGAATAACAGGAATTAGTTTGCAAAACCTGTTCAAATCTGTTCATGCAGAAACTCGTTTTAACCAATAACGTTAACATGCGCTATCACACTTGATACAATTTTTTTCGTCTATATAATTAGCCAACCATTTTCGTTTTGTGCGCACATAGCTACTTCTTAACTTCTTTTGACGCAATGGTATTACACATGATCATACTTTGGTTTGAAAATGTTCTTCACGTGTTCCCTCAACCAAGGTCTGAGCAATTTCACTTGTGGAGACGAACTTTCATCCTAAACGGACATTAATTATTCGTGTGAAAATACAGCTGTGAAAACTGAGGAGATCAATGAGTTTCAGTGTAAGCGAGCTTTGATAGAATACAGGCTGAGTGTCCGGGGGTGAGGTGAACCCCTTCAATTAGTATTTTACGAATATTTAAGGCTAGTCGTTCTCAAAATAGTCGCCAAATATCTAAAGCTAAATCTGAAGAAATCTCCAAATATCTAGAGGCTCATGCAGATTTGAAAAAATTGTCACTCAGCACGAACCAAGGGCTTCCTCGTGAACATCCCTCGACCAAGTTGACTACAGCCCCCCCCCCTCTCAATCCCAGCCCGTTCCCAACGCCTCTGAATGCAGCCCCAAAACGTGAGAGTTTCGCACCGTTTTAAACTCTGCCGGTATCGTGTGAACAGGGAATAATAAAGATTACGTCACAAAATACTTACATCGCGGGAAAATAGCTTTACTCCGAAGATTCCATATTCTTTAATTTCCCGATAAAATCGAATATGAACTTGCCCAGGAAACAGATTGCTTATCACTATTGGCAAAATCATCAATACGAATAATGCGATGTAGGTCGAAGAATTATTCTTTAAGAATTTAAAAATGAAATTATATATTAGTACCTTCATGTTCACTAACGGTAAAAATAAAGATCGGCAAATCTTTATGCACCGATATTTTTTCAAGCTCCGTAAGCGCGCGTTTATAACTAGACAAAAATTGCCAAATCAAACTTACCTGACATCTCTGAAACGTTTGTGTTAAAGTTACACAAAACTGTAATAAAAAAAAGTTAATTGGTTAATTATACACGGAGGAAAATGTTGTTTTCTGAATTCCGTGTTTTCAATAATTTTGTTACTGTTTGTTGATCCATAATGTGTGTCGGTTTAACCAGCATTTTCAAACAATCTATAAAGCCACCACCGGCCATGGGAAAAATGTTGGAGACGACGTAAAAGCCAAAGGTTTGTGGGCGCAAATGTAACTTTTGCCGTGAATTAAACGTACTTTCGCAAAAACATAGAGATTTTGTTTCGTAACGTGATAACGTTTGAAATAGGGGAGGTCTGAATCGTCTTTTTATGGGGGATAATTAGATACCCCCCCCGCACACAACTTAAAAAACTGGAGGAGTCGTGTCCTCCTACACCTTACTGCGAACATAATACTGTCGCATACATGTGCATACAAATTTAATTTCATTGCGAGTTTCCGCTTCACATTGTTTAAACAGCGCTGAACTAAAACTTTAAGGGCTGGTACACGCGTAAAGATCATCATGTTGATGGAAGTTGTTTAAAACAGGAGTGAACTATGTTGTGCTGCTCCATGTGCACAGCATTGTTAACAATAGTTTTTGAACCATCAGTAGCCTTGCCCAACTTGTTGGCAATCATGTCAACATGCAAATTGTTCATGGAGCCACAGCACAATATTGCTCACTTCTGATGCGACGAACTAATCAATTTTTGCCGTGTAGGTCTGTTTCCAGGTTAAAGTGCGCGTATCATGGTTGCGGATTTGAATATATCTGTATTTTAAAAAATTTCGCAATTCACTTTGTTATTGAAAAATTTTGTCTTGATGGCTTTTAGCCCTCTTAAAGTTACCGGACATGACGTCAAATCGGGAATTTCAAATCAGTTTTCTTTGTTTTAGTTGCACGGAAACCTCAATAATTGTAAGCACACTTACTTGACTATACAATATGGAAGACCCATCATTGCACCAAATTTTGTGATACGTCGTCAGGCAAGCAAAGTAGGGATAATAAATGACAGCATATTCAATTGCAATGCCGAAGAGAAGGAACGCTGGATGTAATTTACAAAAAACGGTACAATTACTTAAACGATACTTTGAGAATTGAAGAACTGTAAAATACTTCGTAAAAAATTAAAAATGGAGAATAAAAAGGATTTTAATTCTTTCTTTAGGCAGCATTGCTGCATCAAAAAAATTTCGCCTGATTTTCTTTTCAATTGTGAGAATTCGACGGTAGCAGATTGCCTTGATCCAGCGAAACGTTCTTTACAATACGCCTCCTGTTATTTTAGATGATAGTATGGATGTTTTACCTTTTTCCCAACCGTTTGAACCTGAAATTTCAAACTTTGTGACTAGCGTAATGATTGATTCAGTAGCAGCTCCAAACACAAACATGGTGGCAAGTCGGTCATGATCAATACCAAGGAAATCAACAGGGCTACAGATTGTAGATTTAATATCTTAATACAAAGTTTGATTTGATTATCTCTTATTTAATTTGATCATCCTTTACAAAAATATCTAGTTTCGACTTGAGATCTTCTTTCTTTAGTTGACATGCACCGAAGGACGTATGCGACGTTATATTATTTATGTAAATGTCCAAACATACAAGTTCTTCATTGTGATTGGCTAGATGTATAATGATTGGAAATAAGACGGTGTATGCGTTTTGGATGCTCGTTGAAATAATTAGATGATCACAGATTTATTTCGTTTATATTTATGGTATTTTCATGGCGAGAAATTGTGGACACGCATGCGTGTTAATCGTGTGGACTTTAAATTTTTTTGTAAACAAAATGGCGACGCGTTATTATAGAATTGTATTGGAGTTAGGAATAAAATTGTGTTTAACGTGAACCTTTAAGGGAAGCGTAAAATGTCGGACCTAAAATTGGTAGATCATGGTGACAACTTTTATCGACGGAAAATTTGTAATATAACGATATACAAATTTCATTCGGTATCACGACATTTAACTATGAACTAGGGGTGAAATAAATATATAGCCCAGTACGTAAATACCTCAAAGCGGCCTAAATAAATGCCATTTTCTAACCATTGTGATTGGCGAATACTAAGTGTCGCATCTCCCTTAGCTTGCCAGTACAGTGTGTTTCAATCGGTAAATCTTCCCAAATCTGTACGATTTTACGTAGTTCGGTATTTTGAACTAACTTTAGTGCAAAATTGGTATATTCCAGCCGTGAAATTTGACCCCCCGAGCAAAAGCGCACTGGAATGGCTAACAGAACAAACTAAATATCGGCCTTTCTTGCTCGAATATGCATCCATTTTGCTTGTTTTTAGTACAAGCTTTGTGACCAAGCCTTAGTCTCTAAGCAAACTTAATATTTCATAAACATTGCCGTCTATGGCTGGAATATTACATAATTATGTTGAAACCGGCAAAATTTTGAAATTAATTTCGCGCAATATTCATAACAACAAACGCAGTATATTTTAGCGTCTGTAGCAGTTAGGTTAATGTTTTTAAAGCATATAGAAACAAGCTCTTAAATGTCTGACGCAACTATTTCTTTGGCGAATTTTAAATGGAAATGTGCGGTCAAATATGTTGTTCTACGTCGCCAAACAAGCCATATATCAGGTGACATGTTATATACTGTATGGCTATTCGCAATAGCGTTTTGCTACAATGGCATAACGCATAATCCAAGCAGGAAAATTACACAGACTTTCTCAACGAGAGTCGAGATAATTCCCGATGAATCCGTCCGGACTATGCGCGCTGCGCGCATCGTTTAGCTTCCTTTGGAATTTTTTTGCTGATCTTTTTAAATACTTTGTGTATGACCCTTGAAAGTCAGACACTTAACTCCTCCCACTTATGTCCACATTTTCTCGCCATGCGTTAGGTTTATAGCAATGGAACTGCGGTCCGTATACTTAAACTAAAACTATTTAACAATCAGTCGCCGAAGGCGAAGTAAATATAGTGAATCACCGAGCCTGAGGCGACTAATTGTTTTAGTAAATTTTGAGGTGTTTACAAATAATAATCAACATAATTTCACAAAGATTTATAATGAATTCAAATTTCTTAGCTGAAATACAACGACAAAAAGCTATAGCCACCGGTCAGTGATTATCACTTCAGCGACAATGAATCTTGACCTATCAGAATGCAGGAAAATCAATACTAATAATTTTTATATGCATCCAACATTATAAATAGTCAGAAAACAAAAACACGCACGGAATAACAGTGTAAGTTTTCATCTCATACAACAAATGTTGTTTCCCTTAAATGTTGACATTCACGGAGATAACTCGTCCACTACTGCCAAATTGTATATATCGAATTTACGAAATTCCGAATTCGTTTCGAAGTTCGCAAATTCATTGCGAAGTTCAGGCTCAACATTCCAAATATGGAATGTATTCCGGAAGTTCCAAAGGAACTTCTGAATTTTACGATGAAAGGTCAGCTGAAATTAACTGTAGCGTAAGTTTCCTTCGTTAATGAGGCTATAAGTCCTTCGGTGCATGTTAACTTTTAGGATTAGTCGGATAATTAGCATATTTAGCGTATATATAGTGATAAATTTATTGGGTTTCCAGTGGCGAAAGTAGGCGAACTATTATTTGCTTTCGGTCATTCATAGTCGTTGAAATGGTAGAAAATTTAACTTCATACCATCTAACCTGTCTTGATGGTGACTCACTACAACAAAAACAGACCGTCCTTTCTCTCAAGAATTCTTATTCGACAGACAGGCCTGGTATCATCCTTACAAAAATAAACTTACATAACGAGTCCTGGTCGACCTCCCCAAAAATCTTTCTTGTAACTTTTTCTTCGTCGCAAAAACGCCAAAATTGTCAGAATCATTGCCTGAAACAGATTTTACGTTTTCTTATTTTCTGTATCGAAAAATATGAAAAACTGTTTTATTTTTGTCTAATACACGTGGTCGATGGTTTTTCAGTTATGGATGAGTTCGTTGCAAGGTGACTCATAACCTCGTGACTAACAGGATCTTAGTAGTTAAATTGAAGGGATTTCCCCAGAGAAATTATAATTTAAAAATGATTTCATATAAAATCATCAAGCGTTGTTTTGACACTTATACTTCATTACATCACTCCATAACAGATTATAAACGCAGTAGCCATATCAACACTTAGCAAGCCGATTTTTATACACTCGGAATAGTAAACATGGCAATTAAGCTCCTAATCTTAACTAAGCTCTTCCTATCATCCTATTTCGAAAGCCCTAAAAAGAAACCACAGGATGCTGATTAAGTTTCGTAACACAAGTGTGACATTTTAAACTTACAGCAGGTATCAATAAGAAATGAGGATAATATCTTGTATCAACATCACATGCAGCACTAGAAATAAGAAAACACATTGACACTTGAAACAATTACAGACATTTGTAGCCAAGCAATTATCATGTATACTCACGCAGTGGGAGATTCGTTGGATGATAAGTTTGTCTGGTTAGTCATTGCTGGTGAGATACGTAAGCTATAAGAGAAATCGGAATAAGGCCTGCTATCCATTGCAACAATATTGTAGCGAAGCTTAGCGTAATCCTTAATTTGTTTCAAAGTCATTAGTTCTATCTGTGAGTGCCTAGGAAAGAATGATATATTCGCTGCGGTACGGCCGAAGTGGAAAACAAGCTAAGCCAGGTTGTGACGTACAATAGACTACAACTTTTTATCTATGCAAGGAAATGCAATCAAATCACCACAGCTGAAAAGAACTTACTGAAATTAGTAGAAATGCAAAGTTTGGTTGCGAAATGTTGTAAAATACAGAAAATATAGCCTTGCGAAGTTCGCAAATTTGTATACTTTTCAGGACAAACGGAAATTGTTACCACATTTAGGTCAAAAATGGTAACAATTTCTTTTTGTCCTAAAAAGTATATACAAATTTGCAAACTTTGCAAGCATAAAGGTTCGACCTACGACATAATCACATAAAATGGTCATCATATACGTTATATCTGATGTCAAGCCTCACTAGTACACTACAATTCTACAAACAGGGAGCTTTAGCAGTGACTACGAGTACGACGACGAAAACTCGGCCAAAACTCGTAGTCGTTGAGTACGCGTATAGATATGATGAGGGTTCACACACAAATTTAACCACACGGTCCCTTTCTCTAGCAAATGAGAGGAGTTTATTTTCATGTTTGTTGTCAATATAAATGGTTCGGCTCCATTTTCAAATTTCGGGGGGTGATGCCTCTAGTCACGCTTTTTTAATCAGAAGTGAAACATCTGGGTGTAATCTGTATCGTAAGCAAACAACGCGCGAGATTCTCGCGGCGAGAATGACGAATCTCATACTCGTAGTCACTTCTAAAGCTCCTTGATAATACAGACATAACAGGTATTGGCGAATTTATGTAATTATATGTAATTATATAAATATATATTAGCCGCTATTCTGCTATTAGGAACAACGATGCTTCACAATAGTGAGTCTACACTGTCAATTTGTTTCCAAATATAGAAGCAATGGATAATGCTTTAGGATTAGTCAAATATGCTTTATATTTCTCTTTCATTTTCCTAATTGAGCATGTAAACTATATAGTAGAGTAGCCTGAATATAAGTTATATAGCGACAAGCCAGTCTACAATAAAGTAATACAATGTCGATATTTTGCGGACTTACGGACGATTGATTTTTCCTGGAAACAAAATTCTCTGGATGGAAACGCTTCTTGCTCGAAATAAAAGTTTACGCTTGACACGGGAATCGAGACGTATCGGGTTTCATAACTACATAAGCCTGATTCTCAAATTTCACGGCCTGACAGTCGGCAATTATCAGAGTCAGTGGCACATGAAATGAATTTAGGCATTTGAAATAAACGACAGAATTTTTAATTGCAAACATGTTTCGACTTAACTATATATAAGCCATCTTCAGTGCGAATGAATTAGTTATTTACATTGTTAAATATATAAAGTAGAAATAAATCAAATAATGATACAGGCGAGGTGATACTCAATGAATAACATAATTGCGTTCGACGAAGGAGAACGCTTCCTAATCGTGACGTCACGGCTGGATGCTATGTCATTTCGAGATTTTTGGATGTAACATTTGCCTCGGTTTCGTGTTTTTGCGTATGCTCTGATTTCCGGGTTTTGTGCCGTGTCCTAATGTCACGTGCTTTCCGTATTTTGCGATAATACGCTGTTGTTTATAGGACCGGGCATTTGGCTTTCATATTCGCCTGTTTATTAAGAAGTTATGGGAATTGTACACTCGATTATTTTGATTTGAAGTGTCTGCAATATGACTGAGAATTCTCGTCAAAGCATCAGGAAGCTATCTTCCGTTGGTTTAACCATGCGAAATCCGGAATTTTATTTGCTCATAAAGTAAACAAACCGCACCACCGAACGCACTTGCTAATCTTTGATTACTTCTAGTTATTTACTACAATGATTGACAACATAACAGGATACAAGATATGCATAATAAGTAGAACAGCACGACAGACACAGACCAAATGGGTAACACGGGTAACGGATAACCGGGTAATCGAATAGCCGGATAACCGGTAACTCTAGTAACTGATCATTGATAAATATCCATGTTCGATATCGAAATGAAGATCATTTCTAGTCTTAACGGTAAATTAGATTAAGAATAACAGTAACTTCAATTTCTATAACTAGGATATCTATTTACATTTTTGAATCTAGATGTCTTCAGTGTTTGTAGAAGTCTTCACCGCATTTAACAAAACGTTAGATTTAATAACAAAACTTTTGAATTTCCAATGATTATTGATATCATGTTTTTAAAGTAGTATCTGACTGTTTGATCGCGTAGAAAAACGTTCTCGCAGATGCTTTAGGTGAAACAACTGAATGAAGGGTCGAATGTCCGAACTGATGGGACTTAATTTGCGGGCTTCAAAAGTTTGATCCTTATTCTTAGCACATGAGTTGCACAATGAAAATATTCATTTCTCAGCTGGCTTTTCGCTTGTCCTTGGTATGTATACTCTGGGAACATTTTAGACACAATAACTATATCGTTGGGTGGCTCTGGGATATGATTGCAAACCAGAGCAGCAAAAGCTGCAAAATAGAGCAGCGAGGGTAATCACCAAATCTCTAATTGATGCTAGTTCCAGCGACCTTTTTAACAAACTAGGTTGGGATATTCTTTTAATACGCCGGAAAAAACATAAGGGTGTATGATGTTCAAAACTCTAAATGATTAAACACCGACATATCTTCTTGAATTTATTCAAGTTCGCAGCACTAGATACACTTAAGAAATTCTGAAACACTTTATTATTTGTGCCAAAACGCGAACAAATTATGCAAAACGTAGTTTTAGTTATAGTGGTGCGTGTTGTGGAATGAGTTACCACTAAATGTACGAGCATTTTATGCTCCCTTAACCAGTTTAAAGAGAGATTAGACTCCCGCACGGCAATCTTGTAAATCGTTCAGTCTTGTGTAATTGTCCTATGTATACCTGTACTTTGTAACTTTTCTTTAAATGTCCAATAACCTTTTTATACTGTAGATTTTACCGTGGTTAAATAAAGTTTTTGATTGATTGATTGATTGATTGATTTTTGATTGATTGATTGATTTTTGATTGATTGATTGATCTTCATATTCTCGCAAGTTTTCACCACATCCAAAGCATTTCCTCGCATAGATCAAAAGTAGTCTATAATGCAAAAGGTCTATATCTGCATAAAGATTAAAGCCAAAGGCATTATTTGCATAAGGTTTAAAGGGTCTTAATTGCGAGTGCCAAAAATCATAATTATTTGCATAATTTCTATATTCATACAGACAAGGAAACAAAGCAATAAAAGTGAGAACTTCAAATCATTCTTCCTGGCAAAAGTATGAAGCCGAGATGGCGGAAATTGAAGAAGCTATAGAGTATAGTACCATCACAGTACGTGCTAGCGGTGCTACAGCCTTCAATCATCATGCAAGAATGACGGCGATCGACGGACCAACCACCAGCCTAACGCTTTCCCAAATCTTTGTAATTTGCCTGCCCAAAAATTGCCTCATCCCAACTTCGGGGCCTTTCTTTGTTGCTAAAAACCATCATCTTAACTGACCGACTAAAACCCTGATAAATTATATCGACCTGATTCGATCATGATCTCGACTTCTGAACTTGTCTTTGTGGCTTTCACAGAAAACGTGTCTTTGTGGCTTTGACAGATATTGTAAGGACTTCAATACACGCATGCATATCTGAATGAATTTCAGCCATATCAATGTCTCCATAATAATGATAATATCGTAGTATATAGAATTACGAGTACACGACATGCAGTTGAATTCTGTACACTTGATTAATGTTAATATTCGACGTTTCGACCTACGGCTACGACAAAATCACATAAAATAGACATCAAATACTTTATATCTCATGCCGCAAGCCTCGCTAGTAAACAACAATTCTACAAATAGGGAGCTTTAGCAGTGACGAGTACGACTACGAGTACCACTAGGTGTACGACTACGAGTACGAAAATTCGGCAAAAACTCGTAGTCGTTGGGCTTTCGAGTACGAAATTTATCAAAATACTCGTACTCAAAAGCTCGACGACTACGAATCTTGGCTGATGGGAGGATGGCGTAAGCAAACAACGATATGTAATTATGTAAATTTTATATATATCAGCTGCTATTCTGCTAATATTTGTCTGCTATTCTGCTAAACACTGTCAGTTTGTTTCCAAAATAATGAGAAGCAATGGTTAATGCTTTAGGATTAGTCAGATATTCTATATTTCTTTTTATTTTCCTAATTGTGCACGTAAACCATACAGTAGAGTAGAATATAAGTTATATAGCGACAAGCCAGTACACAATAAAATAATAACAATGTCGATATTATTGTCGACTTACGGACAATTGAATTTTCCTGGGAAAGAAAATTTCTGGATGGAAACGCTTCTTGCTTGAAATAACAGTTTATGCTTGACACGGGAATCGAGACGTATCAGGTTTCATAACTACATAAGCCTGTTTCTCAAATTTCACGGCCTCAAGTCGGCAATTGGAGCGATTTAGCATGAGGACGTGATCAAAGACGATGTGAAAATGGCGAATAAGTGGCGTTTGCGCCCAAATATGGACATGCCACGCCATTTACTCGCCATTTTCACGTCGTCTATGACGTTCACGTCTTGATGCTAAATCTCCCTATTATCAGCGTCAGTGGCACATGAAATGAACTTAAGCATTTGAAATTAATTTTTAATAGCAAACATGTTTCGACTTAACTATAAGCCATCTTCAGTGCGAATGAATTGGTTATTTACATTGTTAAATATATAAATAGAAATTAAATCTCCCCGGAGGGTCACCTGACGGGGAGATGTAGTTCTCCGAGGACCTTCGAAGATTGATAGGAGCAATACTGGTGCAGAACCGCGGCCAGCAGTGGTCTGGAACCCACGCTAATTTATCGGTATATAACGATTGGGGAACCAGTATTGTTCCTATCAGTCTTCGAAGGTCCTCGGAGAACTACATCTCCCCGTCAGGTGAGTACCCTCCGGGGAAATTTAATTCCTCCTTCGTACCTTCTTCGACTGATACTCACAATACTGGTGCAGATTTCAAAGCCTTACTGCAAGGCCTCTGATGCTAAACCGACAAACAAAGCAAAACAGAAAATGAACTTTTAATTTTCAACAACTATGTACTTAACACAGCATTTGCAAAGGTATTTTGAGTCTTTTTATGATGTTTGTTAAAAACATTTGCCGAAAACCAATCAAGCTGCACCTAGTATAATCTCCAACGGCACGCCCACGTTTGCGCTTCCGATATCGAGGTTGATCTCGTTGAATGTCCCGTGTAGTCTACAGATATTCCTGCTTTAGCAAGCAAGGATCGCAGCAAGGACAGTGTTTGGGATCCAATAGCTTTGTGAGGAACCTTGTACCGGTGCACTATATGTTTTTTAATACTACATTTCTTCATTAACCACAACATGACAACAAGGCTTGATATCGTCAAAACACCGTGCTTTTCACATTCGAAAATGCATGTGTGGATGAAAATGTTTTGTCATGCACGGTTCGTTTCCAAACGTAATACAACTAGCTAATAAAAAAAGAAAATCTAATACAACTATAACTAGCTAATAAAAAAGAAAGTCTAAAGAAACATGCAAACTTAACATTGTTTACTTATCTAGTATTAATCCTGCATTATCTGGGCCATAATTACCAACATCGATTTTGACGTCGCTATCTTTGACACACATTGTGTTCGCACGTTTTCGTTCAGCTGCAAGTTGTGGATTGCGAGCCAAGGTGAGTGCGATGAACCACTTGGCGCGGGCCTGGGGAGAGCGAGTCCACTTTGGTCCACATTTCCTTTCTAGGATATATACAACGATGAGGAAGTCAGATAAACATTCTTTGATATTGGAAAACTGAATTTAGCGCTAGTGGTTGGTGGTTATGACCACCACAAGTGTGGCAATGATTGCATGAGTCTATAATAGAGGTTTTCTATGTCATTCAAATAACCAATTGTTGTATCGTTAATTGGCATATAATCATGATGATAAGTTATATGGATATTAGTATTCGCATATACAATGATGATATATATATATATATATATATATATATATATTATATATATATATATATATATATATATTTTTAAATACTGATATAGGTATATATTCTCTGAGTACTTGACTGAGTGGGACCAATACCAATTAATGTGAACGATTCCGAGAATAGTTTAAAAACAGCTGAATTCCGAATGAATTAATAATAATTATATGGATAGCCCGTTTTGCTTCTGTTGATGATTAATAACTATTTACAAGCTACCGTTAACCGTGGTGTATAGGTTTTAACCTTTCTTCAGAACTTACGTGTTTCGTGATCATCGATCAGTGTTTGACAAACCACTCGAAGAACTGGGTTTCTGAAAGCTGCTTGGACGTGAAGATAACAGATGTACGCATTGTAACCTTTTAAAGAATTAAGATATAGATAGATACCTTTTTGTTAAACAAAAATCATAATTAGTTTCCTTATTTAAGGTGGCTTGCTACAGTTTTAAGAACATGGACAACTAATGATTTAGATTGAAATAATATTTGGCAGGAAATTTCTTGTTAAACAAAATGAAATTTTTAGATATATTAACCAACATTCTAACAGTCGAAAATTGTCTTTGAGTATCACGTCATTACCGTTGTATGGTACAATGGCGTTTCAATATGGCCGTCATTTTACCTATTCACGCATTTTACTCGAAAACAAGTTCGGTTACCCCACTTTTCATTTTATAAAAAGTTTTCTTACAAAAAAATGGGAAATTTGAGCAAGTTTAAAAAAATTCTATAAAGCCAAAAAATTTCTATGATGAAAAACCCCGTTTTTTAATTTCTATTAATTATGGCTCTATAGAATTTTTTTTAACTGGTTCAAATTTTCCATTTTTTTCTAAGAAAACTTTTCATAAAAAAAAAATTGGGGTAACCGAACTTGTTTTCGAGTAAAATGCGTTAATAGGTAAAATGTCGGCCATATTGAATCGCCATTGTTACCAAAACGATAATGACGTCATGCTTATGGGCAATTTCTGACTGTTAGAATGTTGGTTAATATATCTGGGAAATTTCTTTTCCTTACCAAGAAATCTTGTGCTAAAATTTTAAATCAAAACCACAAGTTTTCAATATTTTAAAAAATTGTAGGGAGCCACCTTAATCACAAAAGAATGTTTCAAGCTGACATGTTATACGAAAAAATCTTAGAAATGCATGCATTGTTTGAAAGCCCACCCACGTTTTGACCAAAACTACTCAAGCAGCATCATTTCGTGAAACAGACTGTAGTGGACGATTTTTGGTAAAACAATACTTTCAGCATATCTTAATCTCTATCTATAGTATTGAGCACTCTCTAGTTAGAGGAAGCCCAAAAAAATAAGCGTTCATATATGTTTATCATGCTATATTAATATGGCATGTGAGATGTTAAAAAAATCAAAATATAAACAGATCACTTAAACCCTCTCTCTCCCTCTTCCCACCTTTCTGTCCCTCTGCGTTACCTGGATCAAACCGTTGAAAACCATCAGGCATGATGCTATGATCAATTCTGGGCAACATCAGAAATCCCACAATCAAGAATACGAAATATGGCAGAAAAGACACCCATCGGAAGTCCCACGAAAAACCAGAAATAAGAAAACACCAAATAGACATTCCTGCGGAGAGGAAGAAAAATATACGATATTTCCAAGGTAAATCAGAGTGTGTCTCATATTTCTAAAGTAAAGTCCTTGAAATCCTACAAATATTTTAACTAAAAATGATGGCTTCGTGGTATTGGAATCTGACTCGACCAGTGTACCGTCTAGCCCCTCAGAAAGCGCAATGAAGGCGTACCTGTTGTTTATGGAAATGACGTTTCTAGAGAAGTTAAGATCCCGGAATATTGTCACAGAAGCTGCAATGGAGCACAGCCGAAAGAAAAGCCAAGCCAAAGAGTACGCTAAATAGAATGTCAAACAAAAACTGTTAAGACTTGCATTAAAATGGAAGCCAAGTTCGTATGCAGACAAACGCTTTGTTTAAAGTTTAAACTTCAATAGTTTTAAAAAACGCTGTACTGTCTGAATATCTGACACTATTTAGGCTCGCTATGTTTTTAAATGAAATTAACGCTTATTAGAAATATTTGATACGTGCGAAATATGGGTAAGTTTTATGCTACAGGACCCACATTGTTATGACTTATGAGCAGAACCGATACGGACTTGACTTCCTTTTGATTAGTTGATTCAGATGCAAAAACTGTATGAAAATAATATACAAAGTTTGGGTCAAAAGGTCTGAGTATTTCTGTCCATAAAATGTACAAGTAAAATGCCAGCAATATTTAACAAAATATTTACGAAGGAAATGTGATTTATGTGAACGTGATTTTATAAATAGACTACAATGCAAGGTGTACCCTTATAAGCATATGAAGGCAAAGTGTGCTCTTATATGATGGGCTTGGCGCCCTATCTAAAAAACCGACAGGTAATAGAGTGCACGCAATATGGGAAAGGTGGTCAATGGCAATATGGGAAAGGTGGTCAATGGCAATTTGGGTCAATGGCCAGCAGCAATTCGAAAACTAACAAAGACCGAATACCCAAACCACAAACGGTCAGTTTATGCGTGACATAGCAGAAGACAGAGCTCGTTTACAGCTGAAATAGGTAATTTGTCTCCACCCTTTTCTGAGCATAAATATTTGGAATTTTAATGGAATGTATTTATAAATATCGTTTTGTTTGACAGAAATAAAGCGGCTAGGAGAACCACTACTCCTAGCCAAAATCACCCCAAAACGGGTTAAAATTTTATTGATGCTCAGAAAACTGAGCTGCGGAAGGGGTATGCAAAATTCATGGCTGGCAATATATATATATATATATATATATATATATATATATATATATATATATATATATATATATATATATATATATATATATGCGAAAATAAATCACATTACATAAATAGAGAGTAAGTATTTAAAGTATTTAACGTTGCAAAACAGGAGATACCTGAACACAATGTTTAATAACATTGCTAGAATGTTTAAATGAAAAAATCTTAAGGGTACATAAACACGGTTGATTCCACCTACCCGCCGCCCTTGATATAGCCGAGGATCCAATCCTGAACCCAGGAAAATTTCAAGGAATACAAAAGAAAACATGGGATACATATGAAATCCAATTTAAAAGAAAGCCTGCAAAGAAAAAGAAGCGATATCAATGCAATATGACCATTAGGATGGCCCTCACTGTATAGAAAAAAATTTAACACAAAAATAGTTGATGAGTATAGTTGATGATCGTCTATCTATGGACAGGAGCAGAGTGTCGCGATATAATTAATTTCTCAATTAAACATGATGTATACACTGTTATAATGTTAAAGTGTTATAATAGCACCTCCATAACTGTAGATTTTATACCCCTTGCTTTGGTGGAAATAACAAATGCTACTGATCTAACATGTACCGATTTAGGGGTTGATCTAAACCATCAATTTGATGGTATAACATACTTATCATGCATAATCAACTAACACCTACCCCACAAAAAGTATCCAATTTGAAAACTATGATATCGAAGTCCTTTTCCCTGGAAAATGGAGTAACGTAAGTGCATTGCTTGCTAGCGAGAGAGAGAGTGAATTCCCGTCGTCATTAAGATAACTGCAATGTTTACACGTAATGAAATTGTAAGTACACTTGCAACATTGATTAATTTTTATTATCAAATATATCCCTTTACTGAGAATTCTCTTGGCTCACTTCCCTGCTCGGATAACAACAACTTAGAAATGCAATTAGCCTTTCTCAGGATGACGTTTCTGGGTACTTTCAATTTTCTCAAACGGGTTTAAAAAATTTTAAAAAACAACATGAAAATAATTTTTTTTAGAATCAACAGACCATTTGAAGAATAAATTCAGCCTAAAATTAAAGACAGTCGCCGTTACAAGGTCTTGAGCTGTTGCACTTACAGTTTTGTAAAAAAGTACCCCCAAAATGGCGGCATATTTGTCATCGTGAGAAAGACTAGTTGCTCAACTTACAACCATAAACTGAGACACGCTTATGTTCTTAGCGATGAACGATTTATCCCCTCTGAACATTCTCAGCATGTTATTCCTGAAATATAATACAAGGAAGATCAGGTATATAAAAACTAATCCAACACTACAGGGTGTCCTAAAAACCCTTAATTTTTTTCCGAATGCAAAATTCTTTTCGGTGTCCTATTGTAGAAAATACATGTTTTACAAACGTATAAAATGTATCTCGATGGATCTACGACGATTCAAATAAAACAATATTTTAAAAAAGAACTGCATTTTTGGATATACCACCTTTGGTTTAATTTGTTTTATCTAACATGAAGATTTGCACAAGTTTATAGAAATCATGCAGTATAGTAATTACTGACTTCTATATACTGATTCTTGGATTCAGCTCATAGCATTAGCCTATTGGTCTTGCTTAGTATGGCATTAGCTTACTGCATGCATGGTCTTGCTTTTTGAGGGGAACCCTGAATATCAAAAACTATGGATTACGCTTCTTTTTCTTCATACTTATGATTTTCCATGAAAAGAATGAGGGAAAGCGCACAGATCACAGTCGTGAGGATTGCACTAGCCAATGATGAACCTAGTAAAAAATGTTCAAAACAGTTTCTAGTATTCTCATATCGTACAACTCGATATCTGTAGTGACTGTATATAGCTCGAGGAACACTAACCAATAATCCCACGTGACAAATCCAAAATTGCTTCGTCTAAAGCATCCGAAGGTTTTGTTTTCTCAATTTCTCTCAATAGCACACTTGACAAATAGATGCAAAGAACGCAAAGCTTAAAGAGAAAAAGACAAGTATATGCTAGCGGGATGTACAGGGCGTCCTAATAAGAAGCATAAACTCTATATCTGTTATTCATTTAGAAATATAGTTCATTTAGAAAAATAGGATATTTTAAGAAATATAGCGACGCAATATGTAGACACAGCGTTTGTTTACCTTGCCGAATGTAATCTACTTTTAATCAGCACTTCTGAGGGATTTAGATCAAATATTTGAAAATTGAATTATTAGCAATATTATCTCTATAGAGATATATATTATAGCTTTAAAATGTTTTTGCTCCGTAGATATCTCAATCACCAAAAAGAAGTTGCAAATATCCCGGTTTCATTGGATTAAACAAACATATATATATATATAACAATTATAACAATTATAAATAAAAGTCTATTTGGAATAGATTTATATATATATATATATATTTGCAGAAGTAACTGCATAACGACATGTAAGGACGAAACTCCGTAATGTCAATAACATCTTAAGATCACAGTCGTTCCCAACTTGGCCTTGTAGCTCAGACGGTAGAGCAACGTTCTAGAAATGCGAAGGTCGCGGGTTCGATTCCCACCGGGGTCAAGTAGAATTTTCTGTTTGCCCGGTTGGTTATACTTGCGTAGAAAGAACATATAAAAACACACATATTACACAACCCTACAAGTGAACACATGGCTCAATTAAGAGCAAAAGTACATATATATATATATATATATATATATATATATATATATATATATATATTTTTTTTTTTAAGAAAATGCAAAACTTACATTATAAAGCAGAATGCCGCAGATCATCATCACAGAGAGAGTTTCAGTCGAAAACTTAAAATCTAAAAATGTTAAACGAAACAATAACCAAACATATATTACTATCTGAGTACTTATATGCATTCATGTATACATATGTTATTTCGTAATAATTCTTTTCCTGATGATGACTATAGTTTAGTCGAAACCTCGAAAATTATGTTTTTCAAAAATTTACTCTTACTATTGATCAAATATTTGTCGAATACATATGTATATACGTGCATAGTATTTCTTATTACAAATGGGTGTTATTCTAAGCGAGGTTCTAACGCCGTCTGTCGTCATGCCTATACCGGGACTTACGCCTAATTTTATTCTAATTTCTAAAAGCTCACCCACACCCAAACCCATTGAGTGGATAATCTTAATTACTTTATATAGTGATTCTTTTGCGTATTTCTACTCGTATAAGACCTTGATTTTCAATTTTTTACCCTAATTAAACCCTTCCAATAGTTAAGAAAGGACTAGCTCATTGATCAGTTATAACATAATTTTTATGTTACACTCAATTAGTGTGAATGTGCTCTTTGAAAACGGGTAATAGTGCTTCATCGTATAAATCATCCAATCATCAAACAAGGTTATATACCTTTTTCGGGATTGTAAACTTTCCTCAGAAAAAACTTTATTCTTGAATATTGACGAGGTCTAGAAAAACAGGAAAATTCCTAGGATAGAATCTTTCCCAGTCGGACGTCACAGAGTTAAAAACAGATTTTAAAAATAAACACGCCTTCAAAAAAATGAACGAAAGTAAGGTTTAATTTATTTGAGAAAGCGAGAGCAATTAAGCTCTAACAAGACAGTCTGAAAGAAAACATCATGAAACAAAGTCAAAGTTGCGTTTAGTTGCCCTTCGCAGCATAAACATGATTCAGTCATGGCGTAGACAGAAATTGACAGGCTGCTATTTGCTAATTAATGAGAATTTGGTAGAGCTAAAGTTGCTGAAATTTACTACATCTGGAAAAGTGAAGCTGGGCACTCATGTGGTTGTGGTTTTTGTTTGAAGACC